CAAAATGAACATTGTTGTTTTATTAAGAAAATTCTCCTGTTTGTGTTCCTGTAGGTTGAGTGGTGCTTCACCATTTCTGGGTGAGACCAAGCAGGAGACCTTGACAAACATCTCAGCCGTCAACTACGACTTTGACGAGGAGTATTTCAGCAACACCAGTGAGCTTGCCAAGGACTTCATACGCCGCCTGCTGGTCAAGGATCCCAAGTATGACCATTTTCAGATTTTATGCCAAAATTAAAGAAGAAAAATGTCATGTACTGTAAACATGAAAGTCTCTGCTGTGTCATTTTCTCACTGGTGGATTATTTTCTTCTGCAGGAAGAGAATGACGATTGATGACAGTCTTGAACACCCCTGGATTAAGGTGGGTGTTTTATATAGCATTTATATCTGCAGATGTTGTGTTAGCATTCACAATCAGGCTTGAAAAAGTGTTATATAGATACATTTGACTTTTTTCAGCTTATACACACATGACTGAGTGGGCTCTGTTCTTTCTTTTATCAGAAAATAGAGTGAGACAGATATATTGGCAGATTTTAGATTGTTGTAGATGTATGAGTGTATATGTTGGCACATTTTAGACCTTTCCATTTTCCCCTCTGCAGGTGATTAAGAGGCGAAATGTCCGCCAGGAGGAGAGAGACCATAAGACTGAGCGCCGTCGTCTCAAGACCACTCGTCTGAAGGAGTACACCATCAAGTCCCACTCCAGCATGCCACCCAACAACACTTATGTCAACTTCGAGCGCTTCTCCCAGGTCCTCGAGGAGATTGCGGCAGCAGAGGAGGGCCTGAGGGAACTAGAGCGCAATCAGCGCTCGTGCCGGGAGGACGTGGCGGCGCTGCTGTCCATATACGAGGAGAAGGAGGGCTGGTACAAGGAGGAGAACCAGAGCATCTCCAGCGACCTGAGCCACATCCGCCAGGAGCTGCAGCGCACTCAAACACAGCGCAAGAAGAGCCAGGAGGAGGCCCGGCTCACCATGCAGGCCGCCAACATCCTCAAGCGCAAGTACGGGCGCCTGGAAAACCGCTACGAGGTCCTGGCTGAGCAGGTGGCCTCTGAGGTCCGCTGGGTGGAGGAGCTGGTGAAGTCCATGTCTGTAGAGAAGGACAGCCTCAGCAGCATGCCCTGAGCCGGGCGGACGTCCAGCAATGACACTTTGATCCTCAAGTATCTTCCTGCCCGTCTTCTCTGCACGTGTCCCACACACACAGTGGAGTTTGAGTGGGTCAGTTGTCATCATAAGCTATGCTACTGCTCCCATCGGGAAAAACGCTCCAAACTTTTTACATCATGCTTGAGACAACCAGCAAGAAGCAGAGAGGCAGTTTGTTGAACCCATTCCCCCACGGAAAGGCTCATTCCTGTGTTTCAGAAGTTAATTTATAATTTTAGAGATTTTTGTACTGTTATTTGACAAAATTATTTACAACTGTATTGGCTTGTTTTTATGTTGCAACTTTTCTTAGCCCTGTAGACACATAACATCTGAATGTCCTTGTGCTGTAAAAGCCATAGATGTCTGTTCAGTTGCGTTTGCCTTAGGTTGGCCAGTTATGTGAGAAAGCTTCACAATATACAACTTATGTCTTTGGGGGTATTTATTTATCTGGTTAAGTTTCAGATTTGATTGCAGCTGACATAAAATTCTCTCATATGTTGGGACAGAGTGTCGAATATAAAGGATGCAATAACCGTAAACGTTCAGGATAGAAAAAAAGAAAAATTCTGGGTAATGCTTTATTTTACCGATCTGTGATTTTGTAAAGATTTTTGAATTTCTTGAAAGGTTTCCAGGAAAAAGAAGGCCCTGTTGCTGAAATTACTCCATTTAGACCCCAGTAAATGTTTATTAATCATTCAGTCATTATTGGAAATTTTATTCTTTGTATTTGATGAACTTGGGCGCATTTTGGACGTCCAGTTCACCTGCTGTCCTCTTGACTAAAAGTCTTAAAGTTCCACAAGATTACAAACTGATCACTCACTATTTTAGCTACAATTTGTTCCTTTTTAAGATATTATTTTGGGTCTTTTTGCCTTTATTTGATAGGACAGATAAAGCGTGAAACAGGGCGAGATGACATGCATGGGTTGTACATGGGGCACCTGCTCTACCAGGTGAGCTAGCGGGCACCTCAGTTAGTTCCAAATTCCATGTTTATTTCCAGGAAACCTCCCAGAAAATCAGTCGGAAATGAATCTGAATTCACAGACCCGTTATAAAAAGCATTACCAGATTCTGAATGTACAAACTTGTCTTTGCAGTGCCTGTAAACCGATCGACCGTATTGCCTCTGCGAACACTCATCTGTCATCGAGTTAATGACATTTCTATCACATTGATATTGTTCAACGTCTTAAACGCAACAACCTTTGCACAGTAGCCTTGTAAACCAAATAGTGTGCATGGAAACGTTTTATCTATACCGCAGCTGTCGTTAGTGTTTCTGTTTTCATTGTGAGCGTCTCTGCACACTCGGAACATTCCACTGATAAGTTTCCCATCCAGGCGACACATTCCCCATGTATAGCGTAGAAAGTGTGTGATATAGTCTGTAGTATTTTTTCAGTAGAGAAATGTACTCGTTTGCACTTAAATGATTATAGCAGTGTTCCAAAATCTATTTTAATCTGTCTCTAAAGTGTAAGAAAGAGCTGAACTGTCAGGGCTCGTTTCAAATAAACAAAGTTATCACTATTATCATGTTGTATTCATGTGTGGTTTTTATTGTGTGAATGGAAACTAACTTTTATATCGGTACAGTTTGTCCTCACCTGTTATAATTATGCACGTTTCTGTCTGTCCTTTGTGCCCTGTTTTACTGTTACTTTAAGTAACTCTATACTTCTGTTGCACGACATTTCAAAAAGGAAATGTACTTTTTACTGCATCACATTGATTTGATTTACAATTGGTCCCAAAGGCTGTGCCATCAGTGTGTGGGTGTGTGTGTGAATGTTTAACTGAGTAGCAGGTGGCACCTTGTATGGTAGCCTCGGCCACCAGTGTATGAATATGTGTGTGAATAGATGAATGTGTCAAGTAGTGTAAAGCCATTTTGAGTAGTCAGATGACTACAAAGGCACCATACAAGTGCAAGTCCATGTACTATTTACAGATACAGTTACTTCTAATACAAAACATGGTGAGTTTTTTGCAATATGATAGATAATGTGCTGTAGTTTAAATAACCCAAAAGTACATAAAATATTTAAATTAGCCCCACCGCAATGAGCTACAACAGTAAAATGCCTTTGTAATGTAAAACACTATCATAGGCTATTTTTCTGCATTATGATGAAGTTACTTTTAAGAACATTTTGTTACTAACACTTATGTACACTGAAAAAAATTTAAACTCAACAGTTTTGTTTTTGCTTCCATTTTTCACAGGTTTAAGTTTAAGAGCTAAGAATTTTTTTAACACTCAACAATCTGTCAAATTTTGGTGGCAGATTTGTTTAAATCTGTGTTAATGAGCACTTCTCTCTTATCAAAATAATCCTCCTGGGGCGTCAGTGTCTTGGTGGTGGAGCAGGCGGCCCATGTGCAGGGCTGTTGCCGCGGCGGCCCGGGTTCAAGTCCAGCCTGTGGCCCTTTGCTGCATGTCCCCCCCCCCCCCCCCAAGCTCACCTGTCCTGTCGATTAAAGGCTGAAAAATGCCCAGAAAAATATCTTTAAAAAACACAACACGATGCCACAAATGTAAGTTAAGAAGGAACTGCCACTTGTTTCGTGACTGCAGGAATGTCCACCAGAGCTGTTGCCTGTGAACTGAATGTTCATTTCACTACCATAAGCTGTTTGCATTGTTGTGTCCGTGACTTTGGCAGCACATCCAACCAGCCTCACAACCGCACAAGTCGAGTACGATGATGAACTGCTGTCGGGTTAAGACCTTGGTGAGGATGACAAGCGTGCAGATGAGTTTTCCTGAGAGATGTTGGTGAAGATTCATCACCAACAGGTCATGATCATCCAAGCCTCTTGAATGAGAGGTGAAACATCTTCAAGACACTCAAGCAAGTCCAGTTGCTTATGATATAGCACTTAAGATTCCCTGAGACAGTTTGTGGCAATTTGTGCAGAGGTTCTTCTGGTGTGCAAACCAGTTGTTACATCAGCTGTTAGGGTGGCTGGTCTCAGAGGATCTTGCAGGTGAAGACACAGGTTGTGGATTACACATGGTCTGTGGTTGTGAGGCTGGTTGGATGTGCTGCCAAATTCACGGAAACAACACTGGAGGCAAATTATGGTAGTAAAATGAACATTCAGTTGATGGGCAACAGTTCTGGTGGACATTCCTGCAGTCAGCATGCCAATAGCACACTCCCTAAAAACTTGTAACATCTATGGCATTGTGCTGTGATCAAACTGCACATTTTAGAGTGGCCTTTTATTGTGACCATCCCAAGGCACACCTGTGTAGTAATGATGCTGTTTAACCAGCATGTGGATATGTTACACCTGGGATCTTTAACTTAAACCCGTGAAACATGGGAGCAAACAAAAATTATGTTCAGTGTAATTTTACTTTAAGACTGGTTTATTTTATAGTTTGGTATTGCTACTTTTACTTAAGGATCTCAATACTTTCACCACTGTTTCAAATTTTTTTTTTCTAATTTACTGATTTATTTAGTTATAAATGGACCAAATAATATGACACATCTGTAAATGTGACAGGCTGTTATCTACAGGAAATGCAACATGAATGTCTCTGAAGCTGGTTGGGTTCTACCAGACTACAAACTCAGTCAGTTTTACTTGGGTCTTTTTGTACTGGACTCTTTCACAGCAGCAGCAGCAGAGAAAATATAGCTCTCAGTAACTGTGTGTGAATGTGCCCTCTGGTGGTGGCTCATCAAAGGTTCATGTGAGATGCTTAGAAAGGTGCTTTTAGTTTGTGCTTCACACTGAGCAGTCAAAAAGCAATACCATCTTTTTGGCACCAAAACCAAACAAAAACAAAACCATGAAACAGTGCACAATACTTAAATGGTTTTATTTGTATATTAATGATGGCAATAATAAATAAATCATAAATAACCTTGTCATCAGTCTGATTCCATAAATCATTAGTCTGCTGATGATAAGTGTATCAAATGTCCTCTGTAAGATAGTAAATCTGTTCTGTAAACTATGAGATTGTATAGCATTCTTTAACTAAATGTGTAATAAGGGACTGTACTTTATTAATCAGAGTAAAGTCAGAGTCATCTTTTAATATATCATGACCCTCCCCAGAGCTACACATATTGTTCCTTCAGCCTCCCTGAGTGACTGGGGGAAAATGCATGACCCTTTCTTCACCATAAATAACCATATTTATATGGTATACCACAGTTCCTGGCTGATAAATGGTGTAAGATTTTTAAGGAAACGCCTCTAAAACCCACTTATAAGTTTTAGGGTTCTGAAGGTATTAAAAAAACATAACCATTAAGTAGGATGTCCAAAAAAAAAAAAAAAGCATAACTCCCTCCCCAATGCTTAAAGAATTATTTCAATTGTTCCCTCATCTTGCGCCACCCTCTCCGCTCTCATAAATAACGAACAGTCCCTAATGTAAAGTTGTTTTCTGTGTTTATAAATGATATAAAGAACTTAATATTTTTGGACCATTTTGAAACAAATGGATAACCTAAGTCAAACTGCTACAATCACTACAATTAAATGAAGAGAGGATTCAAAGAACTGCTCATCTTTGTGTTAAAATCAGCTGTTACAGTGTGTGGACTTCACTCAGGAGTGAAATCCTTGGCAGTGATCTCAGGAGAAACTGTCATAACTGTCTTTGTGTTTGTCTAACAGCAAGCCAGACAACGTAAAGATGCTTCCTCGTTGTCTCTGCAGAGGTGGAAAGTTAAAAACTCTCCTGTTTATCTCCATCCTGGTCCAGATAAACACAAATCCATCCATGGAGAGTAGGAATGTTTATGCATCTTTCAGAGCGTTAATGTGGGCGCACAGTTTGAGTGCAGGTCCCAGTTTAAGGTTCATGGTGCTGACCAGATGCTCCTCTGTGAGAAGCAGCAGAGCCTGTCCGTCTATTTCCTGCGAGCGAAACTCCTCAGCTACGTCCTGACCACCTGGAGAGAAGAGAGGACACAGACTGAATAAAGTGTTTGTTCATTTTTAAGCATTGTACAAACAGATATGTGCAGAATTACGTACTGTTACTGTTTGTAAGATACAGCATGTGTTCTTTAAAACAGGGGCCTGCTGCAGCTTTTATGAGGCAGTTTACTAAACGCTAACTTTGCTGTTTTGAACATCTGGTGACATTAACTTTATGCACAGCAGGTGATTCACTTTGTGTCCTTAAAAGGCAGAAACGTTGGAGTGTTTGCAAATGAACAGTGAGTAAACAGAGAGAATAAAAGTGTGCCTCATACTTGCATGATTTTTAAAATCTTTACTTTTTAAATCTTGTTTATGAGAAGATTTGAGAGGACAAAAGCAGAATAAGTCTACTACAGTTTGGAAAAATTAAGAAGGGAGTTCTATGTGTTTGGCTGCTTATGAGCAGCAGGAAATCATATTTTGTTTACAGGTTACTGTATTAATATGTTGGTTGTCGTGCTGAAAATCAGTGTAGAGTTGTTTTCAAATAAAAGGATCTTGTAGAAGTAATACAACATTTTTCATCACATCACATTATGCTGTGACTCAGAGGTAGAGAAAGTCGTCCTCAGTCTGTCGAAGCATCCTTGAGCCAGATACTAAACCTTAACCTTAAACTGCTCCCGACGGCTGTTCCATTGGTCACCAGTGTGTGAATGTGAGTGTGAATGGCTGCATGTGACTCGTAGTGTAAAAGCGCTTTGAGTGGTCAGATGACTAAAAAAAGGCGCTGTACAAGTGCAGCTCCATTTACTATTCAACCTGACTAGGAGACTTTTCAGCTTGCTGGGACTAGTAGACGTGCAGTGCAAAATAAATGCAAATAACCATTTTAATATGTAGAATTCTGACACAGCTGGAAAAATGAGCTGTACTTCTTCCTCAGATTCTGCCTGCTTTGCCACAGAGGTACTTTTACCGCATGTCGTCACATTTTACAGTGAGATAGGAACAACTGACTACTTTTTTTACTATTATTGTTGGAGGCATATTTGCTCCCCCAGCTAACATCAGTGGTGGATGAAGTAATCAGATCCTTGATACAACAGTGTGAAGAATAATCTGTCACATGCCCTGCATTTAGAATCTTACTTAAGTAAAAGCATGTAAGTACAATCTTTAAATGCACTTAAAGCATCAAAGTAAAATGATTCAATGGCCCCCCTGGACTGTTATAATATTATATTGTCAGATTATTGTTACTGATGGCGTTGAAATAGAACCAGGACTTTACTGTTGTAGCTGGTTGATATGGAACTCATTTTTAAACTATTTTGCACAGGACAGCAGCTAATGATTATTTTCATTTTGGATTAATCCACTGATTGTTTTCTTAATTAATTAATTGTTTGTAAAAACTCTACAAAGGGACACATCACAATGCTTTCTTCTATCAAACCAGTACTCCAAACTTCACAAATATTAAAAATAAATTTGAATAATTAAAAAGAAAAGCCGCAAATCCTCACATACGTTTTGGCTGTACTTTTGTATACTGTTGGGTAATTTAGTTTATAACCAAGAGGAGAGAGCACATCAGGACAGACTTAGCTGCTCTGCACTGACTTCCTGTTCCATGCAGAATTGATTTTAAGCTCATCCTCCTTGTTTACAAAGCCCTACATGGACTGGGACAGAGCTACATTGCTCGTTGTTAAATATTTGCTTTCAAGAACACTGCGATCATCTGCTGCTGCTTTATTGGAGGTTCCCAGCAACAGCCGGAAAAAGATCAGGGATGCAGCCTTTGTCAGTTAGCTATGGAGCAATGGATCACACTACCTATAGATATCAGAGAGGCTAGCTCGCTTAATATTTTTAAAAGAAAGCTAAAAACATATCTGTTCACTTTAGCCTTTAACTTGCTCTGACTTCCTGATACAGGTCTGAAACTTTATTTTCATACTTAAAGCTGCTGCAACTCAAATATTGTATCTTACTTGATTTTATGATTTATGGTTTTACAACTCTATGACTTTATGCCATGGCTTTTTATGATTTATTTCATCTCATGATACATTTTTATGTTTTTGTGATTTATGATTATAGTTATTCCTTGTTTGAAACAATTTTTAAATGTATTTTATATTGAATTGCCTTGCCTGTGTTATGTGTTATGTCTATTTTCATGCCCTTATTGTAAGGCACTTTGTACTGAAGCATTAAAAGAAAAGACTTAAATAAAGTATAAGCCTCACATTTGTACTTAAGTTCAGTATTTGAATAAATGTACTTAGTTCCATTCCACCACTGATACACAGTATTTACCCGAGGCCAGATATTGGACTATGCCCTCTCCACTGAGTGTAACAAGTTTGCATTTCTCTCTGATACCAGGTAAACACAGTGCACAACTTTATCTGCCATTTTCAGTGACTAAACTAGAACTGAAGTGTCAGCAGTACCTGGCAGGGAGTTGATAAAAGAAAACACTTGTTGTACGTTCCACTGAGACGGACAGCCCGCGTCTTCTTCTTCTTCCCCGTCAGAAACACTGATTGTTTCTGTCATCCTCTGCTCCTGCTCCCTCTCCTGCTCTCGCTCCTGGTCTCTCTCCCTCTCCCGCTCCCTCTCGGCTTGCTTCCGGAGCCTGGTTGTCATGGGAACGGGAGGCTCATCTTCCTCTTCTTCCTCCTGCTCTTCGTCCTCTCTCAGCGATCTTTGCCGGGTCTCCTCCGAGCCAAACGACCGACGAGCCTGCAGAGCACAAAGACAAGTCAGACAGTTAGCTGCAGTGTTTTGGCTACTTAGACTACTTACAGGAAAGGTCAACCAGGTATTAGCCTTAGCCATGTTTATGTGTGAGATTAAGGTTCCTTTGTGTGTTTAATGTAATGGTCTAATGAGGTTTTTCAAAATAAAGGTTTAATTCAGCACATCCCAGCTCATAATAGAGAAACTGTGGAATATGCACTGCCAATCACACCCATATATTCTGGAGAGGTTTTTCAACACAAGACCCTACAGTAGCACTGCTGGGTGTTATCCCTGAGAGTCTGAATGTGAGGGATAAGAAACACCTCTTACAAATATAACTTACAGCAGCCATAAAGTGTATAACCATCAGACAGCTGAAACCAGACCCTCCCACATACAGTACATGGATCCAGAAAGTCTGGGACATTTATCAGATGGAGCAAAATACATGCTCATTAAGATTACAAACATCTGTATTTACTAAACGATGGAGTCCTGTCATGCCTTTATTAATACAGTGAAATTTATCATCTAGTAGGTCTATCATATATATACATTATATGTCATTGTCTATAGAACAAAATTTTGAACCTGGACCCTTGTTTTTCTATTTAAGATTTGCTTTATCTAACCAACGGGTTAAGACGTCAGACTGGTGGATGTCTATGCTTTCTTTTCATGTTTAGATAATTTCTGAATATAATGTGCATATATATTATATACAGCTGGGGGAAAAAAGAAATGTCTACACTGTATTGTTGTTGACGAAAAATAAATAAAAATTAAGTTCAAAAACAAAGGTTTAATTTGAAGGAATGAATGCATTTTGATGGGTCACTGAGCGTCAAGCAGTTTCCAAACCAAGTCTGGATTTTAGGACAGTTTGGGGGTTTTAGCATCAAATTATGGTCTAAATGCCTGCAAATGGAAATATGAACACTTGAAAAAACAATACATTCATGTCATTTTAAATCATAAAAATGTTTCACTGTTGCACTTATTAGCAATTATTATTAAACTAATCAGGCAGAATATTGGACATTACCACCCTCAGTCTACATGAGCCTTTCAGTTACACCTAAATATCACTTGAATTAAAATAAAATAACTAAATAATAATTTAATAATAATTAAATAACATTATTGATTCCATGTAGGTTACAAAATGTTATTTTTAATTTTAATGATAATATGACTGTCAAACTAGAAGAAGAAATTAGAACTTTTTCCTACTTTTATTTTATTTTTTCTAACTTTTTTCTAACTTTTGTTTGTACTTTTTTTTAAAAAAACGTTTTATTTCTGAACATTTTTTACATTTGACAACAAAAGAAAAGAAAAGGAAAAAAGAAAAGCAGTACACAAGGAAAAATATATACAAATATAAATACAAATAGGAGGTCACGGGATGTTTACAAAGACATGACAAATTTTCCTAATTTAAAGCATGGCTTCATGTATGGTACATATTTGTTTGTACTTTAATTTTTGTCTTTATTGTTTTACTGTTTAATAGTTTTATTCTGTGTTATACTTCTCTTATTCTCTACTTTTTTCCCTCCCTGTTTTTCCTGTCTTGTTCCATTATCTTACTATATTTTATTGTTTCATCCAGTTTATTGTAAAGTACTTAATTTCCTTCTGTAGATATAAATTCATTTTAATTGAGGTTGACTCTGCAGCAAATCAGTAAGGCCAGAAGTTCTCAGTAAGTTGTTTACAGACAAGTGATTTCTAGAATACAAAGAGCAGGAAAAAAAAAACGTTTATTTTTCCAGGCTTCCTTCTCCTATTTGTTTTTCCCTCGTGTTTTTCTGTGTATTTATTTTAATCTCTCCAGGCCTGGTCTGAGAGCCCATGTTATGTACATTAATAATTGTCTATAGATGCATCGTATCTTTCTGAAACCGTGTGTTGTTTCCGTGTTCACAGACCAGGAGTCTCCTTCTCAGCTCTGCTGCTGTCAGATGCAGCTGTTCCCCAGAGAGCAGCGTGTCTCATAGGACCAGTGATCCCTTCAGCTCCTGTGCGTTTTGCTACACGCATCAGGTCAGTGATATTAACTGACCTGTCTCAGAAAATGTTCTCTGGAGGCTCCGTTGACTCTGCTGCTGGGGGGTCGTCCCCTCCTGCCCATCGGCCTGTGACCCCAGCGATCCGCTCTCAGCACAGTGATACGCTTGGTGCAGCTCACACTGAATCTAAAGAAAGAGACTCGGAAATATTAAATTACCATTCATACAGTTCGCTGCAGGTCATATCATTTGCTTAGCGATGGCACTGCGGTCATGATATCATTCTTGAAGCCTGAGAGCACTTTGAGATTTTGTTTTCCTGTGTGCAGCGAGTGCAGACAGTTAGACAGGCTTCTGCCACTGTGCACTGAGCTGATAGTCTGCATCTGGACTCTTTGAATCCTGGACGGAGACTCAAAAGGAAACCTGGGAGTGATTATACACTTGAGACTTTTTCTCATGGTCCAAAATGTAACTCAATGGGTTCCAGATGTCAAATGATGTGTCTCACCAGCACTGAGACAGATGACATTCTCAGATTACTTGTGTTGTGTGGTAGAGGCTGATTTTTTAATACAAGGAAGGATGCTCTTTTGTATGGAAGCCCAGCTCTGCCACTGTGATGATTACAAGATCATCATTACAACGAGAAACTGCCTTAAATTAATGACTTAGTATCTCAATATAATGATAAACTTTCTTAGAATACTGATTTAGTGAAACATTTTCAGTCCTGGACTAGCATTACTTAGCAGACAACCAGGCTGATTTTAACCGAAGTGTCGGTGCATCTCGATGTGTTAGTGCTTTATTTACCTTCGGACACACGTCATGGAGCAGAAGCGTTTGGAGCGCAGGAATGTGTGAGCATAACCTCTGCTCCCACAGAACTCGCACTGCAGCACACCTGCCACATTCTCCGCCAGCTCTGCAACTTCACACCACCAGCTGTTAGTCACACATACAGTATATATATATATCTATATGCATACACACACACACACACACACACACGCACATCACCTCACCATCTGCTGCAGGGCCATCGTCTTCCATCTCAGAGTCCGTTGAATCCGACTGGTCAGCATCCAGCGGACTGTCCTCTGCCACTGCATCCCCGTTGGTTTGGATCTCCTGGGATTCAGGAAGTGAAGCCTGCTGGTCTGCTAACAGTGAGGACGACACCACCTGCATCAAGGTGCATTCAGATGAGTTCAATCTGACATCCTGGCATGGACAGACATCAGCTCTGTGTAGTAACAGGCTGTCATTTTTACACGTCTAAATTTGAGAGAAAGAAAGCTTGACCTTGGAAAAATGGCCATTACGAAATAGGGCTGCAACTAACGATTATTTTCATTGTCGATTAGTCTGTCCATTATTTTCATCTCCAGGGTTCATACCGGGAATGGCTCCAGGCCCTCTCGGATAACGAAGCCCTCTATGAGGTGCGTAAGGACGTGGGTTGTGAGTATCCTGTCGGGGCTCCCTGGGATGCTTGCTGGCGAGGGGGGAGGCTGGCTGGGGCCTCGTACTGCTGCTGGCAGGACGGGAGGAGGTAGAGGAGGAGATGGAGGAGGAGGGTTGCTGCTGTTGCTGGTGAGCTGGGAGGGCTCTTCCACCACTGGTGACCTGATCACTGAGCGACTGGATATGATGGCGGATGAACCCATCACTGCTGAGAGATATGAAAGATAACAGAATTGAGGGGTGTTTCCTAAAGTAAGGATACCATTTAAACCAGGTTTATTCCAGTAATTCCAGTTTATTTTCAGGAAATTCAGTTTCGTAGTATACCTCCAGATTAGCCTGGTTTTGGTCAGGTTAGTTTTTAGTAGCAGATAAACAATTTAAAGGCATGTAAATAGTATATTTTCCATATGAAGGCAACATAATCCAACTAATAGAGAACTTAAAGGGACAGTTTACCCCAAAATGGAAAATACATATTTTGCCTCTTAACCATGGTGCTATTCATCAGTCTACATTGTTTTGCTGTGAGTTGCCGAGTGTTGGAGATATCAGCCGTAACGATGTCTGCCTTTTCTCCAATATAATGGAACTAGATGGCACTCGGCTTGTGGTGCTCAAAGCGCCAAAAAGATTTTCCAGAAATTATGACCAGGTTACTCAAGATAATCCTCAGACCCTGTGGTGAGCAGTTTCATGTAGGAACTATTTTCTTTTTACCAAACTACACGGTCAACCGTATCACTGTACCTAAGTAAGTGTGCATCTACTACTAGCTCACATTGCACCACTGAGCTAGCACTGTCATGAGCATGAGCCTCTCGTCCATGTGTACATTCAGACTTCTTTCTGTGATACGGTTGGTGGGTGCAGTTAAGTAGAAAGAAAATTGTTCCTTTGTGAAACAGCTAACAACAAGGTTTGTGGATTATCTTGAGTAACCAGGTCATAGTCTTTCAGCACCACAAGCTAAGTGCCATCTAGTTCCATTATATTGGAGAGTAGGCAGATGGCCCAGGAACAGCGCTGAGCTTTGAAGCCAATTTTACATAGTGGCCAAAAGTAGAATTACACCATCTGAGTCCATCATGTGATGCCAGGGGGCCCCAAAGGTTTTTTTCTCATTGACTTACATTGGTAAAGAGACGTCTGTAAATCAGTGGATAATTTCTTTTGAGTGTCACAGCCTCCTTGAAAGGACTTGTTTCACCACCAGGATTTGATCCATTCATTTTGGTAGCATTTCAAAAGTCTAGAAGACATATGTAAAAGAGCCGCTGATTTAATTATTTTATCCCCAATTCAATTTAGCGAAATGCTAAACCAGAAGTTAGCTGCTCGGCCACACTCGGCTACCATAAGTCTCTCGTGTGCTTGCTCTATGGATGACATCATACGGAAGACCAGGGTAATTTACTGTGGAAATACAGCTTTTTTGACTTCATGTACCACTGAGCAACTTTCACTGGAACGAATGGGGGCCACCTCCAATTCTATATCCAGGTCTCTTTATACATCCATGTCAGCAGCTCACACCAAAACTATCTAGACTGATAAATACGACTACAGATACGAGGAAAATATGTATTTTTGATTTTGGGGTGAACTGCCCCTTTAAGTTTCTAAAAAAAAAAAGGTTAATTATCTTATTGTCTATAAAATAAACTTCTATTTCAGGACTAATTTCACTGGTCAAAAAAAGCTCCAAACCAGTTTCATGGGATGTGATTTTTAGGTTTATTCAAGACAGGCTTTTCACAACATGATCTGCTTTCCTGTGCCTCCTTTATGAGACATCCCTCTGACTAATGAGGAGAGTTTGTCGGGTTAGAAGGGATTTAATTGTATTCTTTTCTATTTTATTCTTTATCATATTTTACCTGCACCATTTTGCTTAGGAGGCCCAGTGAGAGGGGCCAGGATCCTGTCTCGCTGAGGACTGGGAGAACATTCATCTTTCCTCTCCTCTGAGCTCAGTCCATTCACTTTGCACGTTTGCCCCGACTGAAATTCAAACCACAACACATCCTCCATTAAAATAACACTGTGGAGGCAAAGCTTACAAAACGTGACCGCAGCACACAACAACTCACCATTGGAGTTTCATTGTGTCTCACTCGATGCACTTTCAGATTAACAGCCACCGTCTGTGGAGGTGGGAGGTTCTGGTAGGGCATCTGGACCAGAGCCTCCGCTACAGGCAGCTCCTGCTCTGTCAAAAGCACCTGCCCCGACTGGACGGCCAGAGCCTGGACCGAGTGCAGGGACAGTCTCTGGAGGGAGGCCGGGGGGTTCTGGGGCAGCCTGGGGAGAACCAGAGGCGGAGGTGGAGGTGGAGGCTGGTTCTGTACCTGTGGGAATGAGGTCCGACGCTGCGGAGCGGCCACCAGAGGAGGAGGCTGAGGCTGAAGGGTAGCAGCTGGGATTGAGGTCTGAGCTGAGGATGCAAACACACTGGTGACGGTTGAAGGAGAGGGAGAAGAAGAAGAAGAAGAAGAAGAAGAAGGAGTTTGGGGGTCGTTGTTGGTGTGTGACTGGGTGCTGGTCAGTCTTTTCACTGAAAGAGGGAGAGGTTGGGAGTTGGTTTCTTGAGGTGCTACTCTGAGGGCGATAGGCTGCAGCTGCCTGTGGTTTGGAGCTCCACCTGTAGCCTGCTGGAGGATGAGCTGGTGGTGCGCCACCCGCTGGCTCGGTGGACAGGACAGCTGCTGCTTGGACAGAGCGTGGGTCTGCACTGGAGAGTAGGCTGCAAAGAGAGTTAGAGTAAGCATAGACAGACGTGTATCTCGTTTTGGCTGGACCGCACCCTGTAAACGCAAAAGTCTGTCCCTCAATGAGGGATGAGTGAGTGGTAAAGTAACACCACTGGTCAGAGTGAGTGATGACATAAGTGTTGGTGTTTCCCTATTGGCAATTGGTCTTTAGAAATAAATAGGCGTTGACAGGCTGACAGAGACGTAGACGCTGATGGTCATGTATCACTTTACTCCTCATTTTCTGATGATAGCGTGGTGGAATTAGCAAGCTAACAAGCTAACTAACTAGCTGCGGTTGAAGTGGTGGTTTTGAACAACAGAAATAAAGGATCACCTCATCAATTTGCCTGAGGAACAGCGTGTCTGTATGAGACACAAGCCTCAAAATGTATGAGTAACTTTGTGTAATATTACGTGTTACACTGCCAGAAAAGTTGCCGCCATCATCATGAGAAGAACATGGAAAAAAGACGCTGGAACAACATTGTTCTTCATTTTAGGATGTATATACATTACTTTTTTTTGGTTGGACAAAGACACTGGGGCAAAGTCTGTGACTGAGCGAATGCTGCCAAATACTGTTTCAAATTAAAAGACCCCTAGCATTTTATACACGGTCCAGCCGTATACAAGGTTCTTAACAAGCCTGGTCTCACTCCGAAGTTGTCAAACTCTGGCACTTGGGCAGTGACTTGTGGCATCAGAAACCAACGAATCATGTATCAGAAACCAACGAATCACGTATCATGCAGACGCCTTTTGATGTCTGCATGATACGTGGCCAGTTGCCATTGTTGTTTAATGCTGCTGGCCGGCGTAAGGGGGAAACGTGGCAGGACAAGGACTTTCATCTGAGAGACTGGTGTTTGTGTCCCGTATGATTCTAAAGACAAACTCTGTTGTTTTCTCCTAAACCCAACCACGTGCATTTGTTGTTAAAGGGAAAAAAATGTAAATTTGTGGTGTTATACTGAAGTAGTGCGTTTATTTTGAAAGAGACCGTATGTAAACTTTACATTTCCCGTGAAAACGGAAGTGTATTTTGGAAGAAGTCAATGCATGTAACAGGCAGGACTTGACACGGCGTCCCAGAATGTCAACAACCAACGCACCCAGGGTACCTTGCACGTCGAATGTGGACGTGGGAAGTTCATGACCCAACGTCGATATGTGACAAGGTCAGAGTGAGAATGTGTTGTTTTAACCTAGTCTTGTTCAAGGTTGACCTGAAAGTAACAGCACCTGTCACGGTTATCTCACCTGGGGTTATGATCTGGGCTCCTGACGCCAGGCAGGTGACGTCAGCCAGTCCTGTTTCTGTTGAGGTGTCTGTCAGCTGGTTGGTTTTCAGCCCGCTGATTGACGTCTTGGATAAAGAGGCGGCTGGAGTCATGGCTTGTGACTGGGCGGATGGTTTTAGAATCACACTGTGGGCTGTGGCCAGAGCTCCAGGCAAGTGAGCACGCAGAGCGAGGTTCTGCACCTGAATATACACAGACAGAAAGTCACGTTTATACTGTTCATCAACGCCATGGGTGGTGGGGTTGCATGCCCAACTTTATTCATCATAATCCCAAACCTCTCACTTCCATATTTACCACATAACTTTTAATTGTGCGATGTGGCTCATGTTCAAGGTATGTAACATTCTGAAGTCTGTGATACTGCAGACTTGAGGCGTGCATGCGTTATTCTAATTTTGTGCCTGGCAAAGTTTGTACCTGAGAGGAGGTAGGTAAAGAGGAGCAGGAGGTGACAGCAGGGAAGTCTGACTGAACTGCAGCCACCGTGGCTGCAGGGGTTAGAATGAGCTAACAGAAGAAAAGCAAAAAGCAGGGAGAGACAGGTGGCTGGGTGGTTAGAAATAAACAACTTGCATGTTGTGAGAAAACATAAGAAAACACATTCATTAAAAATAGAAACAGGGCAAACGAGTCATGCAGTTTAAAAGTAAACTGTAAATATGACCAACAGCTCAAGATATTTGAAAATGTTTGTACCATCTGAGTGCGAAGGTACATCTGGGCTTGGTTACAGTTGGCCGGTCTGCTTCCCAGGAGCATGGCCTGCTGGGATATGGTGGTTGCGGCACCAGTGGATGTTTGGGTTCGGCCCATCAGCTGGGCTGTCACTGGAGATGCTGGTAAAGTAATCTGGATAAAAGAAAGTGTCTGAGGTTAGTATGTGTCCAGAGCAGGTCAGATTGATGAGAGCTGTAACAATGACACTTACAGAGTTTTGGGAAACACCAGCAGGCTGATGAGCCAAACTGCCACTGGATGAAGAAGGTGACTGCCTCTGACAGACTGATGCCTGAAAAGCATTGGAGAGGCATCACACACCCTATAGCTTGTATTAAAATGACTGCTTGCATGAACACATGACAGACACCATCTGACCTGCTGTATGGTGGCCAGACTCTGCAGGTGGGGGGTGTGCTGGTGCTGGTGCAGGGCGGCTGTCTGCAGCATGAGGTGCTGCTGCTGGGCAGCGTACATCTGATGCAGGTACTGGGCCGCCATGCTCTGAGGTCTGTGGATGGCGTGCTGGAGCACCTGTTGGATCACATGAGCATCATCAAGCAGTTTACAAGTGAATATCAGTCGACTATTGGCAGCACATTGATAATTGTCTTTTAAATTGTATTTCATTTGCTTTATGGCACTGAGAAATGGAAACTTTGAAGCATTTTGATTTAGTTTTTAAAATAAATGGAATTATCTGATGACAGGATTGTAATACTGCTTTGTAAAAGGTACTTTTTTATGATGGCCAAGAGCTTGAGATATATAAAATCAGTGACTTGATTTACTGGTAGTGCTATCAGCTATTTTATCATTAAGTCCCTTTTGAAGATAACATTTAGCTCCTGGCTGATGTTGCAGGTACAGTCTGTTACCTGGACTACTCACCTCTGGTATTGCACAATGCATGCAGAGGTTCCAGTGTCTGCCTACTACCTGCTTGTCAAAGCAAACAATGCTTACAGAAGTCTCAGGTTCAGACTATTATCTGGACCACCTGACAGTGAGGTAAAATAATGCATGCAGAGGTCCCTGGTACTGTCTATTACCTGGATTGCATACCAGTCAAATCAAAGAACGCATGCAAAGCTCTGAGTTGCTGTCTATTGCCTGACTACCTGTCTTTCATATTGCACAATGCATACAGAGGCCCCACTGTCTGACTATTACCTGGACTGTCTGCTTGTCAAAATAAACAATGCTTTCCAAAGTCCCACACAGTCAAATACCTGGACCACCTCACAGTCAAGTGAAACATGCCTGCAGAGAACCCAGTGTCTGCCTTTTACCTGGACTACCTGCCTGTCAAAATAGACAATGCTTGCACAAGTCTCAGGTGCTGTCTTTTGCCTGGACCACCTGACAGTGAGGTCAAATAATGCATGCAGAGGTTCCTGGTACTGTCTATTACCTGGATTGCCAACCAGTCAAGTCAAACAATGCATGCAGAGGTCTGAGTTGCTGTCTATTACTTGGACTACCAGCCTATCATATTGCACAATACATGCACAGGTCCCAGGTACAGTCTATTACCTGGACCACCTGATGGGCAAGTAAAACATTTCTGCAGAGGTCCCACTGTCTGCCTATTACCTGGATTGTCTGTTTGTCAAAATAAACAATGCTTTCAGAAGTCCCAGCTACAGTCTATCACCTTACCGTCTGACAGTCAAGTAAAACATGCCTGCAGACGTCGCAGATGCTGTCTACTATCTGGAAAACCTTCCTGTCACGTTTACTGCACGCAGAGGTCCCAGGTACTGTCTATTACCTGGACTGCCTGTCTGTCGGGTGAGATGATGCTGAGGGAAGTGGAGGGCGCCTGGCCGCACGTGGTGCTGCCGGAGCTGACTGTTGCCATGGTGATGGCAGCTGATGTGGTGGGGGTGGTGGTGACTACAGTCCTATTAGTGTCTGCTTGCTTCTCTCCCGGGCCCTGCCTCTCCATCTCCCAGGTCACACAGAGATTCAGTAATGGGAAAACTGTGGAGGTGAAACAGACATTAATTAACGGCAGAGAGTTAAATAAAACAGACACAACTTCAGGATCAGGGTGATGGACGTGTGCTGCTCGGATCTTTGGGTGTTGGGCAGTTTTATCGACTGACAGTCTCCAGCAAAGCTTGGCTGTGAAAACATCAGTACTGAACAGCTTTTAATCAAAACAAAACATCAAGTGTTCATGCTGCAAAAGATTAAACCATGTTACTTTAATACAAGATCGAGCAGGGTTTTTTTTTTTAAATATATATATTGGCCTAGCCTATATGTTTTTTAGTTTATTTAGATACATAGACAACATATACTCTATCACATTTCGAGGACACTTTCTTATAGGAACGTTGACAAAACTAAACCTATCATATTTAATTCGGCCATAATTAAAATGTATCTCTGTGATCTTATTTTGAAAATCTGAATTAATTTGATAGAGTTCACTGCAGCATTAAATCGGCCCATTCCGATGTTCTTTAGTTAAGGGACCGTCTATAGTTAGGTTATTACAAAGCTATAGTAAAACAGAAATGGGACAAATCATTAATTTGTTCATAATATATAGAGAAATACATACTGTATGGCAGTTATGTTCGGTCTGAACTCCCAATAATCCTTAGGGAAAGTCACCCCAAAAGCATTTAAATAAAAGGAAAATAAAGTCACATAAATAATTAATGCAAAAAATGTTCCATCCAGTGCAGTGAATATATAAATAAATTAGCTAACCTTATTATGTTTTTATTTGTTAGCCTTTATTCTTGGAAAATGCATTAAAAAAACCTAAACAAACTAAGCTTTATTTTTTTTAGAGCATCTTAAATATTTGACTTTGCTCATTTGAAAGCATAAGTGAGTCATCTAATAATAGCTTTATACACAAATTAGAAACAAACATCACACTGTAACATCACAACATGAAAAAAAATAGAAATGGATGTATCACATGTAATCTATAAGAACTGAATGATGAATACCTCATGAATAGGCTATATTTAATTTAATATTTTACACCTGACAAAGGTGCCACAATGGGCTTTCCCCCCCTTGTAATTGCTGATAAAGCCAGCTGAATATGAGTCAAATATTTTCTTTTCTGAGAATAATATAATAATCTAAGAGAGCCTGCCTTCAAATGGTGAAATTATTTCATTATTTCATGAGGATAAATACTGACTCTGTTACAGCAGCTTGAATATTGATTGCTTTTTGCTGCAGAGCAGCTTCAGTCCAATTAAACGCCGGCAGGATATCCTCGATAAATACTGAACGACCACACATTATCTTATCTTAAATCCACTGTCTATAATTTAGGAACCATAGCATCATACATTCACCAAACCAGGATGTGATCCCCTGTCTGTCTGTCTGTCTGTCTGTCTGTGTGTGTGTCTGTCTGCCTGTCGTCGCTCACACGGCGCTGTATGCATGCACAATCATTCACCTCTTGTCGGCGTTACCTGCCTGGTATTGATGGACCATCAGGCCATCAGGAACTGACCAAACCCCGGCACTGTGTCCCAGTCATGCAGGCTACGGATGCGTCAGTAGTGTCTAAAATGGAGATTAAAAAAAATCAGACGGTACACAACAGGCAATAAAAAACGGCTTGATACAGCACCGCTCGCAGTGCGGGAGGACCTTCCACAGCCGGGGGAGTCAGCTGCGTGCGCTGCGTGGACAGTCCCGGGGATGTTGGACAGGCTGAGATGTGTGGTTTTATTCAGATTACTTGTGTCATAATAATATATCATGAAAAGCTTTATTGATATTTGCTCAATAAAGAGGAAGACTGGGTTGATGGATTTGAACTATGTCAGCTTTCTGGGGGAAATTTCCAAAGCTGACACATGCGTCAGAGGACTATTTCACAAACCGCTGATATCACAGACATGAAGTAACCTTTTAATACTCACATAATAGTCCCTCCCTGTGTTCACACCGGACTAGTTATTTTATCTATATTTAAAACAGGAAGACATTTCAAACTATATTTGACTGTTAAAGGGGCTTTTGCTCCAGACAGATGCATTTATGTTTCTAAATTGCCTCATAGAAAATTACAGTATTGAATAAATCAGTACAGACCAAGGGGAAGTTGGAGCATCTGCATATGATGATAGTCATATGGAGAATAAAGACGACTCACTTTACACTGACATGAATAATAGGCCTATTTGCAATAACTGTTTGCAAGAATCTAGTAATCAGTTAAATGTTGAAATACATAAAGAAAGAAGTGAGTCAAATGACTCAGAGAGAAACAGAGAGACAGACAGAGAGAATGCACTGTGGTTGGAGTTAAAAGCAGTGCCAAAATAATAAGCCTCATCGGGATAGATTTTTTGAGTTTGTTGGCAAAAACAGATGCATATAAATGCAGCAAAATTATGAATATATAGTGAATAAGTGGCTCATTATGAAATAAAGAAAGAAAGAAAGAAAGAAAGTCACATCTCAGTCTCTCCTCAGTCTCTCTCTTCTTGTCTCTCTGTCTCAAAAGGACTAAAAATGAAATAAAATTAAAAAAATAAACAAAACAAACAAACAAAATCAAAAAAACCATTAATATATGCACCACACACTGTGACAGCTATGTTGACAAGTTTCTGCTGGGCCGGTCATCACGACCTGTGTGGAGTTTCATCCATGGGGAGGACAACTCTTGTCGGTTGCGAAGGATGCTCTTTTCACGTTGTATTCAGACTCTGTCGGAAATATTTAAGTCACCTGCTAGATAGATAAACCTGCGTGAATCACCAGAAAAAAATGCTTAAACCATAGACTATAAATAGCTTATTTGTAATCTATAATTAAAACATACCAGCAATGATTAAAAGAATATGTGTTCTGGCTAAGGGAACTGCAGCAATAACTTTTAGCAATAGAGATAGGTTTAATTATTATTCGTTAATGTAGCCTAATGTTGTATTATATTAAATAAAAACATTTAATTAATTAAAGTAATGCTAATATTTGAAGTAAGTGTTGATTAAATTTTTGTTGTTTATGTAAACTTATTATGGTGTGTAGACAGTCTCATATGTATATATATATGTCCTCTTTTTTATTAAAGAGAGGACATATATTTTATAATATATAATATAATTAATATATATATGTCCTCTCTTTTATTAATCACATGCATTCATTTTGTTTCTCTTCTGCTAGCGTTGCAGCACAAAGTAGTCCGCCCATTTCTAAAAATAAATAAGTAAATAAATGGAGATACAAAAAAAATTGCTTTTGCTTTTGTCACTGCTCAATTTTGTTGTAATTTCCGAACCAAAGCACTTGAATGCGCGACATGTCTTGAGGGCTTTTGCGATGTCCGAGCTCAGATGATTGAACCTGAAAGCGGCATTTACCCACAACCATTGTTTCAGTTGGTACAGTCGGAATGCTGGCAAAGGATTTATTTAACTTTTCCGGGATGTTAATCATATGATATTGTTTTATTAGACTTTGCAAACTTAAAAACTGTATGACACAGTGAGTTTGAATTGTTTATTGGTAATATTTGTGTGACGTCAGTATACGCGTCTGTGTGTCTGTATGCGACACCCCAAGCATTCCGACAGTGGACTGGTCCGTCGTTAGGCCTTTGCAGTAGGGAGTTGTTTGGCGGACCTCGCAAGTTTTTCTTTACTTTACATGTTATTTTTGTTTCTCCGAGGAAGGCCAAACTCTGTATTTTTATAACCACTTGTCTCGTTTTTCACTCGGCGAGTCGACGGACCTTATAAACAAAGGATTTTGGGCGTGGTACACAACTAGAGAGCCAAAGAAGGAAGAAGGCATCGGCGACTCGGACTGACCGCGGCTGAGCTTATGATGCCGACGTTGCGGGACAGCACCATGTCCCACCCCGGCGAGAATTCCCACCAAGTCCGGGTAAAGGCGTATTATAAAGGGTAAGACATCACTCTTTCTCCCAACATGTCAGCGACGTTGTCAGGAACCCAACGAGGAGCAGTTTCAGACTTGGAAAGGTGGCTAACCAGTCGGCTAACATTAACGTTAGCTAACCCAGCTAACGGCTTGCTAATGTTGGGAACCAGGTTTAGGTAAACTTGACCAGGCAGACAGACAGGTGAAACTGTCCAGACACGTTGTCCGTGTGGAGCCACACTCTCTGTGTGATTTAAGAAACGTGTCATTGAGATGGTGAAGTTGTCAAGTGGTTTAAATCCAGTCAGTTAAATCTGACACAGTTTGAAAGCTTTGGAGCTACTATGACAGCTAGTTAGCTAACAGTTGCTATCACTGGCTGTTAGTTCTGTTATCTGTCACTGGTAAGTTGTGCCGACTTCACTATCGTCATTTTAATTAGATTTATAACTAGTCTGGCATGTTGTTATATATCTGCTAACATTGATTTCTTATTGGCAGTCTTGACAAGATTGAGGTGTTGTCATTTATTTATAGATTGACCACAGGAAATCATAACAACTCTTTACTGATCAGGATCAAAATCAGAGTAATGTTTATTGTCAAGTGGGTTTCCCTTACACTGTATTTGCCTTTGTGTTTGCTTCTGACAGTCCTTAAAATATTAAGCCAGGTATTGCAAAAGTCAAGAACATAATAAAGGTCGGAAACATCACAATAAAACATGCTAAAGACACTACAAATATTATAATAAATCTGTATAATATATATTTTTTAGGATGAGTGAGCTGTATAGTTTTGTGTGGGAAAAATATTGCTAAGCAAGTGTGCAAAAGTTCACAGTATACAGAACATGTGCTGTGACCAGGGATTATAGTCCAAGATGTGCATCAATATTGATGACATCATGGTAACTGTTGTGAAACGGAAAACCACAGTTTTATTCTCTATGTTCATCATGTTAGACTGCCTGACAATGTAAGGTCAACCTGAACTTTTTATTTCAGATGGTATTCTAAATTATTTCAGAAACACTGATATAGAATTTATAATACCACATATCTCTTACAATCTCTCCGTACAGCTTGTCTGTTTCCCCCTTTTTATTTGTGTTTTCCCTTACCTTAACCCAACCTGAGCCTTAAGTAGGCCTACAACTGATTATTTTCATTAGGAATTTATCTGTTGATTATTATTTTGATAAAGTAATACATTGCTTAGTGCAAGAAATGGGACATAAATAGTGAAAATGCCCACCACAATGTCTGAAACTCTACGTTTGTCCTTTAAGATTTTACATAGTCTGAACAACTATCCACAACCCAGACATGCAGTACTGTGAAACAGGTAACTGCAAATGATTTCATTTGAGAAGCTGTAACTGGAAAACATGACATTTTTGTTTCATTTAAAAACTTCATTGATTAATCAATAATCAAAATAGCTGCTGATATTTTCCTGTCAGTTGACTAATGAATAAACTGTTTCAGCTCAGTCATCTCTGTGATGCCTAACGTTGGCCTAGATTAAGCCCTGACTCCACTGCTGCTGTGGGAAACACTATTTGAAGGTGAAAGAAACTTGGACAAAGACAAACAATAGATTATAAACACACATTTTATCAGTGTACTATTTATCCCTGATATTGTCACTTATGTGGAATGGAGATGCCAGTGCTTTGAGTTTTTGTCAAGCCTGGCAGAGGCACTTCAGCTGTTTTAGTTTCGCACTTCAATGTGATGATGGAAAATCATTGGTTACCCATTTGTTTTCATGACACTCCCTGCTCCACTGGCTCTGTTTGATGGAGCCAGTGATTGGAGCCCAGCCAAGACTTGAAAAACGTGAAGTGCAAGTCACCTCTGTTGTATTTCTGACTGGCTCTGTGACACACCTGTGGAACACTGTAATATGTGCTGATCATTAGGTGTCATAGCACAGAACAAAGCATCTCAAGTATTTATGAGGCTGCTGCTTAGGAATGTCAGCTATGCTGCCAAAGAGGGAATGCACTAAGATGGTCTCATTGTTTGACTCTCGGGACGCATTAAGCCAGGAAGTCATCAGTGTTGTTATTGTTTGCCTGGAGAAGTTAGGAGTGGAGGATTGAAAAGTTGCACAGAATCTATATGTTATATTGGTACTGACAGATCAGGTATCAGCCTCATGTCAGTGCTGTTTCCTAAATGTTTCTACCAGCGCTGACAACATCGCAATGGCTGGCATTGCTTCCACCTTGTGAGTTTGTGTGTGTGTGTCACCATGGTAAAATGTGGTCCTGGAGACACCTTTTAATTACCTCAGAAGCTATTTTGAGTACTTAACCAGGTGTATATATATCTGTCGGCTGACTGATTTTTTCATGGCAATAGCATCACAACTGTGCAAGGTGCAACCACAAAACTTTACAGGTGTGTAGTTCAGATCACTGTGAAGGCTGAGTTCAAAGATGGGTGTGGCCTGAGCAAGGGAGCTGAAAGTGGGGGGACAGGAATTATTGAAGCGGCCACTGCCCCCCAATTTACATCCCTTGCTCACATTTGTTTGAAGTCATGGATTATTGTAAACTTTCTAAAACAATAAAATGAAACATGCACACCCCCAAAAAACACAGTGATCTATGTAAATATACAATTGATGAATAAGTAATATAGTAATAATTAGGGATGTAACGATACCAGAAACTCACGATACGATATTATCACGATAAAGAGTCCACGATACGATATATATCACGATATTTATACAAGGGGAAAAAAGAGAAAATTTATTGTTAAAAATAGCTATTTTATTCAAAAATAGTGCATGTACACTGTACAGCATGTTATTTTTAACTTGGAAGCGTATCATAAACAAGTCAACACACAGTTGAACATGTGCTTTTATTTCCCCCCTATTACTGCTAGGCAGGCAGACATTAAAGTGCCATAACAAAGTCATGTCAATTAAAACTATAGTGACAGAATATGAAAATGGAAACATTCAGTATTTTTTAACCTACTCTGAACAAAAGTAGTGTAGTCCTATTACTAGAAAGTCATCTGAATGACATCAAATTATGAGGATAGAGTAGTCTTAAATTCATCAAATATACAGAACTTAAAACAATCAGACCCTGCAACAACAACATTAACAAATTAGAAATAATGTAAACTCAATAACACACAATCCCTCACTCACACACACACAGAGAGAGAGAGAGAGAGAGAGAGAGAGAGGTGGGTAGAGATGTCTGTAAAAGAAAAACTCAAAAACACACATTCACTCAGTTTGTTCACGCCAGGTTGACAATCTTGACATAAAGGAGACCCTAACACTTTCTCAGAACAGGAGATGAGGAGAGGAAAGCGTGTGTGATATGTGATATGCGTGGCATTTCTGTGCGACCCTGCATTCGCGAGTAATCCATCCAAAAGTAAAGTGTGTGCAAAGCTGTATGAAAGCTTTGTCATACATTATTTGAGTGTAACTTTATCATTTTTTTTCGCTGTGAAAACATTGGACTACCGACAAGTGCCCGGAAAGCCACGATTCCGCTGTTTCACGTGATATGTGTGGCTTCTCGCTATGACGGTAGCGGAGAAAATCCACAGAGAAGAACAATCCATCTCCTTACTTTTATTCGCTGTTTCCTCCGGTCACGCACGGGTCAGAGTCGGAGGTTGAGAGGCTGACCTGCACGAGTCTGCTCTCACCTGCGCGCGCAGTTGCATGCAAAGGATTATGGGGAATGTAGTCGCACAGTCATATTACCGGCTCTGTAGGAGAACGCAGCTATATAACTACCGTGGCATTCCCACAACGGTATTGAGAATTTATTTGATCGCGACACCGCGAAATTCGATATATCGTTACATGCCTAGTAATAATCTTAATTTACAGTGCACTTTTCAAAAACAGTATTACAAGAAGCAAAATAAAAATACAAGTCATGAAAACAGTCCAAGTCATAAAACAGAGGCAGTAAAGGACATTAAGTGAAGTAAACATTTGAGCTGAAAAAAAAAAAGAAACAAATGCTACAAATTTTCAAGTCCCAGCTGCTTAATTAGCAGGATATGTGACGTTTCTGTGTCATATATAATAGTAAACTGAAAACTTTGGGTTTTGAGCTTTTGGTTTTCACAAAACAAGACATTTGAAGACATCACCTTTGGCTCTGCAAAGTTGGGATTGGTGTTTTCTCTCAATTAATCAGCAGTAAAAATAATTTACAGTCACAGACTAAGTAAACATGTCACATAAAGGTCAGAGAGTCTGCAGGTCTCCCTGGCATCCAAACACCCCTGAAGCTCACTTCACTGATTAGTTTTAAAGTTGTAATCAATGAAATCAGTTGGCAGTGTTATTTTTTGTTCATCCTTTATACCCGAAAAACATCCAGATACCAAATTAAACCTGACTTTCTAAATGGTTGTAGTCGTTGGTAGTGTCTCAGCTCATCTTTTTTCAGAGTCCTTTTTGACTCCATTCATTACTATTAGCATGTCTGTTGTCTTTCAGCACCAGCAGACTGGTGTCAGCCTGTAGCAGTCTCAGCCTGTCACAGGCTCTCATTCAGGTTGAGGGTCTATAGAGCAGGCTGCAAATGCACAGACCGCATGACTAAAGACTGACAGTAATTCAGATACTGTATTGTAGATGGACTAAAAATAAAAGTGTAGCGTGAGGGAGAGTAGAGCTTAAACGAATGATTACTTTTTATTATCAGTTAATCTCCTGTTTATTTTCTGCGTCAGTCATTTTGTTTGCCATGAGTTACGTTGTTATGGGTTGTTTTTTCCCGCCCAATAGCAAACATAATGTAACATATTGAGTAAATCCTCCTATACAAGCAAATATTTGTCATTTTTGTTTGTAAAGGGACACAAACGATTTATAGTGCCAGTTTGTTTGTTTTGAACTTAACTCAACTTATCAATTAATCAGCTTATCTTTTCCGTTATTTGGTGTACCAATATATATTTCTTACAGCTATCTGATCTTTTTTTTTTTTTTTTTTTTTTTTTTTTTTTTGCCCTAT